TCTATTTTGATGCTATGAAGTAGCATTACACTCTCTTTACCATTTAGAAAACTTGATAGTGACACCAATGTATAGGTATAACATGTGAAATTAGTTTTAAGAAAATGCATTATCAATCATCACAGAAGTTGATATCTTAAAAGTTTAAGGTAGTGTGAACTTTGTAGCACTGATATTTCTGAAAGGTAACTCTGTCTTTGAACTTGACACTGACACTTGTGATTACATTTAAGTTATTCATATTTTCAAATTATTACTGGTGTTGACGAGTCCTGTCAATATCGTGTTTGGAATCTGTGCTTCTAACATGTCTGCGTTGTCAGTGTCGTGTTTCTGGTGTCTGTGATGCATAGATTGCGAACTCTATTAAAATGATACTATTTTTTATTTACCTAACATGGTATTCCCGTGTGTATTTGTTAAAATTTGAAAAGGTAAATGAACATTATGATTTGTTTCAAGTGTCAGCAGCGCTTCCTTGTTCAATGAGTGTTGTTGAATTTCTGGCAGTCTGTTAAATTTTGCAACACCTATTATATTCGCCACATGATACAATACCATGTTTACATGGCAGATTTTTGGCTGGGCGCTGTAATTCTTCTACTGCCATTAATAACACTGCTCGTGTGTGTGGGCGGGCGTGCGTGTGTGGTGTGTTGGTTAAATGAGCTTATTTGGCATTCTAGTTCAGTTCAGGATATTTTAATTTTTTGATTAAGTTATTGATTATTTTAAACGCTTTGAATTTATCGGTTCCATTTCATTTGATCATGGCCCGAGCTTTGCTAGCTGATTTTTCCCTATTGAAATTACATAAATAAATATTTAACTCACTTCGTGTGAATGATGTCCTATTTTCAGGTTTGTGACCGTGACTTGCCGGCGGTTGAGAGAGAAAAAGGCATACATGGTATACACAGCTGTAGGTTGCCTTGGGATTTCTGCACTGAGCGATCTCGTCAAAGAGGTATTGGAATTCTTTTATTCCTGCAATGTTTTTTTTCATCTTGAGAGCACGGTCAACATTTCAGTGCAATAAGGTTGCTTTATGATTGTCTAAATTGCATAAAACTGTGAACAAATGCTATCTTGATGAGATTGTAGAAACCTTCTAAACCACAATATTGTTGCTGCAATTGCATTTGTAGACCATATTTTAGAACATTTTGTTAAACATTATAGCCATTTAGGATGTTGGAAAACAATTAAAAAACGGCCCGAACAGTTTATCCAAAGAAAATGAACCACCTAATCATTAGAGCACTGTATTACTTGGATTATTTTGATGATATATAGCAAAAAACTTTACTGATACTGAAACCCAATGTCTTAATAATTGAGGAAATTATCTACTCACTTTGTCTACAACCAAGTCTTCTTGATTTTGTTTCATGAAGAATTTCCCAAGTACTAATCTGGCATTAAAACACCGAGTTTCCATTACCTATGCATCTTTTCTTACTTCCCAGTACTAGTCTTTTCTCCTTCTTACACTGATTTCCTAATTCTGAATCATGTGCTCTTTTAATTGTATGGAGGATTTTGTTGCTAAGAACAATTGATATTTGGTAGTGTGAATTTGTTGTGGTATAAACAGCTGGTTTCTTAATTCCGGTCTTACTTCCCAATGCATGTCTGTCCTCTTTCTTACACAGATTTCATAATTATGGGTCCTTTGTGTTCTTTTAGTTTTATGGAGGCTTCAATGCTTATAATGCTTGATATTTTGTGATGCAAGTTCAAGGTGATTGCCCTGTGTATGGTTCTCTGCCCCATGCAGAGTTGTTAGAATTATCATTAATTTCTAGATTGTTTTTTTATTCCTGTTCTCCTTCTTACACTAATTTCATAACTCTGAATTCTCTGTTCTTTTAATTGTAGTTTGTGTGGAGGTTTTTATTGTTAAGAGGGATTGATATTTTATGGTGCTCTCATTGTGTATATTTCTCTGCACAATGCACAGTTGCTAGAAATTGGAATTATGTTATGTTTTTAGTGTTTTATACTAGCCACTCAACCTCTCTTCAGTTTCAACCCTAGTTTTAAGCTTACAAATGTAGTTGGGGTTTTCAATAGATGGTTCTGTTCTGTTCTGTTGTGTGGGTACTGTTAAAATATATTAAAAGTAGTATTTTACAACACCTTGACTCTGTCATATAGTAATATATAGAATATTTCAATTATATTTGTTTACTTATTAATCGGAATGCGAGTCTAATCTAATAGGATTATAGGAGAATAAATAAGGCACGGCGATTGCTATTTTGGAATACATCATATCACATCTTATTGTAATATGTTACTATCAATATAATTATTCATAGTTTTGTTCTATCCTTTCTACCATTGCCTAGGTCCCTATTATTTCAACAACACATCAATGTTACCTTCCTTTATGACTTGTGCTGTCACTGTACTCTAAAATATGGAACTATTTTGTTTGAATTATTTCATCATTTTCTCATCAATCAAGCTGCTATTGTCATGGCATAATAATTGGTCTCATATGCTTAACCATCAACGTGAGTGCGTGCATAGTCTGTTTCAAAAATCTTTGGATCAGTTAATCCCTCTCCGCTGTTGATTTTTCAGAAGCCTTCTTTTTTATGTATACTGAGTTTCCCAGCAAGTAGGGCTGGCAATGAACCAAACCAACTCGAAGATAGTTCGGAATTCAACTCGACAATTAAATCGTTGAACTAGGTTCATGAACCAAATGAGTTGAGTATGAGCGAAAAATTAAGTTCGTTAACTAAATGAGCTGAACTTGAACTATACATAGTTCGACTCGTTAGGTTCATGAGTCAACTCGATTACATATGAAAAGAATTATACTGTCTTTAAGATTAGGTTTAAATATTTACTTCAAATCTTAGACAAATTTAATCTTCAATTTAGTAGTTTTTGAATTAGACTCTCAAATGTATCTCTTGAAAGTTGTGTAGGTTTTGAATTAGTAGATTTTGAAGATAAAGTTAAATATCAATATGATAACTTTTATTTTATTTTAATATTTTATTTAAAAAATATATATTTATTTAAAATGTCAAATATACTAAAAAATATATATATTTAAAAAAATAGTTTTTAAGTTCGTGAACCATGTGAGCTGAACCTAATGAGATGAACCTAACGAGTCGAACCGAACTGTTCGTGAACTTATAACGAGTCGAGTTTGAGCTTAAAAAAAAGTTCGTGTCGAACTCGAACTCGAACTCGAATTCGAACAATTCTTAACGAGTCGAGCCGAGCTGAGGTGAGTTCGACTCGACTCGACTCATTTCCAGCCCTACCAGCAAGTTTCTTGTCTAGCAATCCTACCATCGGCCTAGTCACCTCCGGATCAGTTTTTCCCTTTGATTTTACGACGAACCATCTTCAACATGCTCCTCGCTCCCTTTGAATGACACAACCGGAGTTTCCATTTATTTTGTGGTCCTCCCAAGCCCCCGCGGTGGTTTAAAGCTTCCAAACCTTGTTATGATTCTTATGGATTTAGAGAAATTTTAATCAATGCTATGTACAATTTGCCTTCTCTGAAATTTTAATGAAGTGTTAAAATCACAGGTAGACGCAATCCAGTCTTGTGGAGGCCAAAAGACTGCTGATGGAAAGCGATTTAGGACAGGGGGTGGTGTATTGTGGAACATCATTAAAGTTCGAGAACCAAATGCCTACAAAGAGATAATGAATAAAACGAGGGAGTATGAGGTGTGTGACTGGCTCTTACTTTTTATTTCCCAACACTTTCTTTGTATGCAATGATAACATGATAGACTAAGTGTGTGTGTGATTGTTAGCAAATTTGAATTTTTAAAATTGATTGTTAATGAGTTTGAAGTAAAGCAACTTATGTTTGCAAACTATTATCTCAAAAAGCAAGTTTGAAGTAAAACTTTATATAAAAGTATCAATGCAATGCAAAAATCCACTTTTTTCACTTTTAGTATAATGGGTTCTGATGACTAAATCCAATTTTACTTGGCAATACCCAAACATGACAAAAAAAAGTGGACAAAATTAAGTTAGTGATTCCAAAACTGTTTTCTACAACCACGAGTCTAAGCATACAAGTCTTTTGGCAGCAATTTGATATATTAGACTGAACCAGGTGAACATAAAAGTGATACCCTGAAAATTGTTCATGACTTTCATGTTGCTGATTTTTTAATTAGCAGGTTAATTTTTTTTTAAAATAAATATTTTTGTTTTTTTCTTAACCAAGACTACTGTTTAGATAATTTAGGGCTGCCTCTTTCGTCAAAGATAATAGCTGCAGATTATGATTTTAGTTTTGCTCAGTTACTCTTAAAAATAGTCGGTCATTGATTAATGATCGACCAAGTCCATTCAGATCATTATTTGCTTTAAAGTAATTAATTTATTTCATGATTGCTCATATTGTCTTGTTTATAATAATACAGAAGCAAATCAGGCAGCGAAGTTATAGTCAGCCACCTATGCAACAAAAGAAGGATTCTTCTCAAGGGGTGCCATTTACATTTTCTAGCCAGCATCTGGGCAATGTTTCTAGCAATACTTCTTGCACAACGCAACTGCAAGATCAACCTAAACCACCAGATTCTGAAGAGAAGCGCGTTCCTGTTCACGACAGATTAAGGATACCTGTTTCCTACGATGATGACCTGCTGCTTGGAACAAGTATCGATAATGATGCAACCTTGTCCTGAATGGATGTACCAAGTAACATTTTTTTAGTTCTTTCTACAACTTTTATTCTTCTTGCCTCTCTTTTTGAGCCTTATTTTTTGGTTCTGTGAAAACAAGTTCACAGATGTAGCAGTATTGATCCATTTAGATGTTGTCGAGAAGGATTTTAGTCTTTTATGTTGAAAAGATAGAATATTGACTTAACACAGTAAATTGGCATTTCAAATTTTGATACAATAACAGAAAGATAGAAAATGTTTTTTTAGTAATAAGCTTTACAACACATTGTAGCTATGCCTTTTATCTAGAAGAACTAGTGGAAGTGAAATTTAACCTAGTTTTCCACTTTCCGTACACCCCAAGTTTTGTGGTTTCTTCTGCAGAAAAAGGCAAACCACAGTGCAATCATCCACCCTAGAGGAAGGATACTTCTTAGCCCATGCAGCTGTGGCTGCTTCCACCACTGCCCTTGCAGCTTCCTCCTCACTTTCCACCATCCACACAATTGATACAACCTCTTCATTACTTAGAACATCCCACACCTAGAGGCAAAAAACCATTGTTTCCACATCTTTAGAATTTTATATGAAAAAATAAAATAAAACTGTTGTATACAAATGATATTAACACATACCCCATCACTTGCAAGAACAATAAACTGGTCATTTGATGTTAAAGGGTGATACCAAATATCTGGAATGGCAATAACACCATGATCTTTGAGTATGAAATCTCCAAAAGCTCTAGACATGGCTAGGCCAGGGTAATTCTCGTTTGGCAACCAGACTCGTTGAACATGTGGTTCTTCCTTTAATGCATAAACACAACCATTGCATCTTCTTATTCTCTTTGCTTCGCCTGCATTTAAATTTAGATACAAATATATAAGATTTTAAATTTTATTTTTGCATGCAAGTTTATGAGAAGAGTCTTACTAGGTAATCCAGGCTTCAAATCTGTAGTCAATTGAATAGCTTTGAGTTTAGCATCATCAATTGTCCCTAAGATTGCTCTTGAGTCACCCAAATTAGCTATGACAAGACCATTACCCTGTTCAATGTTTTTGTTATATCATATTTTTCATAACAGATATGAAAATAATGCCAAAAATCTTAGTTTATTCAATTTACCTGTCTTATGACAACTACAGCAGTAGTTCCACTACAAGAACAATCTAGATTCTCTTGTTTCACCTCATCATCCATCACATTGAAAGCACCAAGAATAGCTTCTTTCAATATTAAAAAGTTATTTGAAAATTTGTTTTGTTTATTGTTAACACCATTTTTTGTTGTATCATTCTCAATAGCATTCTTTTGGCTCAATATGAGAGATGGTAAGGTATTGTTTACTATCTTGCTCACTATATGTCCATTCCTTCCATGTCCATCATATACACCACAAAATGCTCCATCTTCTATACCATAATCCTTTTTGAGGAAAATGAGAAAAGGAAAAAAAAAAAAAAGAGAGACGGAGTTACAAAAAGTTCATAACTTCACAAAAATGTTCGACTTGAGTCACGATATTAAGATTTTTGATGTCTCTTTAATTGAACGTGACTCAAGTAGCATCTTGGTTGAGAGACAAACCTCATGATCATGCAAATTATTCATGATTGAGAGACAAACCTGGTAGAGGGATGCAGCATCTTGGTTGAGACCTTTAGTACCTTGTTTAGAGGAAACAGAACAAAGTCTCTTAGTCTCATGTTGAACCTTATTTGCCTCAAATATCATGACATTCTCATCATGAACTTGAGGGATTCCATGAATCTCTGAAGATGCAACGGATATGCAGATACCCATTCTACTTGTTCTACAATTATTATTTTTAATAACTATAAGTCCTTATGAGTTAGGACTTTAAGGATTCTAATATATAGCAAATAATTGTCTTTAATAAATGTCCTTATATCATATAATTGACATTTTTTAATGGTTGGTTGGTCATTTGGGCTATCCCAATAATGGCCTTAAGGGACATTTGGAATCTATTCTTCCAAAGCAATCACCAAAAGTGTATGACTTTCTATTTTAAAACTATAGTTCTGAATTATTATATAACTAATCCTTACTTGATGAAACATCGACACATTATTAAAATATTAATTTCAACATCATGTAATTATCTTTTAAAGGACACCACATACATAATATAAGGATTCCATTAAGTGTATAGAAAAATCTAAAGTCAAACAATTCAGACAGTATGATTCACATTTAAAGGCTTCCTTTATGCAAGTTTTAGGGCAATCTAGCATTTTCATTCTTATATATGCTTCTATTATAATGGTAGTTAAACTTTTTCATTCTTTTTATGCTTATGGTAATTAAATTTTGTTTCTTAAATTTGTCTTTTGACGGCTTTAAGATTTGAATTCTTGATTCAAAGAGGCTCAAACAAAGGTTGGAGTATTTTGGGAGAAATGGAAAAAAAAGGAGTTTAGAAAAGGAAATTTTTTGGTTTAAGGTGGTTAGAAAGGTTGAGTATCATACTAAATGTCTTCTTAGCTTATCTCGCAATTCATATTGAAGGTTTTGATTAAATTTTTTTAATGAATATTTTAATTGAAGTTCAAGTCAATCATATAAAGAAATTTTAACAAATGTAATTTATTGAATAAAAATTGAAAAATAAAAAGTACGAGGACATAAAACTTAATTCATCAAAAAGTTTTTAAAAAAACAAACAAAAGTTAGACATGTTTAACCTATTTTTGAAAAAAATAATAAAAAACACGAATAGGAAGTGAATGTTACTGAGTGTCTTAATCAATAATTTATTTACACATGTATTGTTTTATCTAAAATGTGAAATTTTAAATCTAAAGAAGCATATAATGTTTAATTTTTTTTTTTAAAATTAAAAGAGACAATATCCAAATTAGAAAGTGCACGAATTGTCAACATTGAATCAATTTTAAGTCAAAGATTTATCCAATTTTTTATGTTAGTATATTCGATAACAAATATGATTCAATACAACTCAACTTAAAATGAGGTGCAAACTCAAATCTTAACCGAAAAAACTCCTAAAAATGTTCCTAAATTATTCCTAAAATTAGTAAGAGACTCTTGCGTTTGGACAGGTCTTAGAAACTCAATTTATAATATTAGCTAAATATTAAATAAATATGATATAATTTTTGTTAATATATAAGAATTAATGTAATTTATCAAGTTGTGGTAGTTGTTAGGATGTACAAAGAAATTATGTTGAATAAAAAAAGAATGGTAGTTGTTAGGATGTACAAAGAAATTATGTTGAAAATGTTGAGAATAATAATAAAGTTAAGTGTGAGTTGGAGTCCCACATTGATTTTAAATGCGGATAGTTGAGCATTTATAAGTGGTAGAACCTATATACCTATCACCTTAAGGTTTTTGGTGAATATGTGGTGTCTCTCTCACTTGTGTTGTTCAATGCTTTCAATGTTCATCTAGTTGTTCATCTTGTGAAAGAGACACACACACACACACACACACACACACTAGTTGTTCATCTTGTGAAAGAGACACAACTGTGTGGACCTGCCTATATGAGATGGATGTACCCTGTTGAACGTTATATGAAAATATTGAAAGGGTATGTGAAAAACCAAAGTCGACCAGAGGGATGTATTGTTGAACGATACATTGTTGAAGAAGCTATTGAGTTTTGTACTGAATATTTGTCCAACGTTCAATCCATTGGCCTCCTAAAATCTCATGTTGTTGAAAAAATAGTAGGTAAACAGTTAATTGGAAATAAAGTTGTGACAGTTTCAAGGGATGAACGAGAGCAAGTGCATTTGTATGTTCTGCACAATGACATTGAGGTTGAGCCGTATGTTGAAATGCACAAGGACGTTCTCCGAGGTTTAAATTTGAATAGAAATGAAAATTGGATAGTACATGAGCACAATCGAAGTTTTATAACATGGTTCAAGGAGCATATTTTTTCAAAGTTTTATTCTGATCCCGCTTCAATAACAGAAAGGTTGAGATGTTTAACATATGGTCCAAGTTTGCATGTGTTTTCTTATAGCGCATACGCAATTAATGGATACACATTTTATACCAAGGAACAAGATGATAAAAGTACAATGCAAAATAGTGGTGTCACCGTGCTTGCCGAAGCAATGCACATTTCCTCGTATTATGGGGTTATCGAGCGCATTTGGGTGTTTGATTATGAGAAGTTTCAGATTCCTATCTTTGGATGCAAGTGGGTTGAAAATAATAGTGACATACGAATGGATAAATCAGGTTTTTTTTGAAAGTGGATCTTAATAAGGTGGGGTACAAAGATGAGCCTTTTATTCTAGCCACGCAAGCTAAACAAGTGTTCTATGTCACTGATCCGACAAGTACGAAATGGTCTATAGTTTTTTTTTCCAACAAAGTAATCGATGATAACATTGGAGAAAAGGGGGATGTTGATGTTGAGAATGAATCTTATATTATAGATGATCCAGATGAGAATATTAGAGCGAACGAATCATATATTAGAAATGATCATAACGAGAGAATTTGGATCAATCCATCTGTCCGTGTTGTTAAGAGACAAGTAAACCCCGTTAAAACAAAAAAAAGAAAGAGATGTTAAAGGTACTTGTAACATATTATTTCTTATTTATATCATGCAATAAAATAACATATTATTTCTTATTTATACCATGTTTTTCTTATTTATACATTTCTTATGTATATATTTGTTATTTACATATTTGCATGTCATTCATTTGATACTTTGGTTTTTCTGAATTACAGGTATATATATTATGGCCAGCAATGAGGAAACATCACATGATGGAAAACAAACAACAAAAGACGTGGAAGACGATATTAAAAAAGGCATAACGATTATGAAAAAAATCATCTGTGCGAGAGATAAAAGAGTAAAGTATGATGTCCATTGGAATGAAAGAGATCAGTTAGTTGAGCCTAACGGTGCGTTGCTAACAAGTTACATCGGAGCACTTGTACGTTCGCAAGTTCCGATTACTTGCGATAATTGGAGAATTCTTTCATTACAACCGGCTAAAGATAAAATTTGGAGCGAGATTCAGGTATGATATTTGATTATTTTTAATTATGTTGACAATTACGTCTTTAAATTAATTATACTAACATGTTATATGTATGTGTGTTTGTTTGCAGAGATCTTTTAATATTGAAGATCGTAGGAGAAAATATTGTATTCAATTTGCCGGAAAACGCTTGAGGGGATTTAGAGCGTTTTTAACAAACAAGTTTCTAAAAGATTCTGAAGGAAACTTTGTTGACTCTGAGCGTCCAATGAAGTACGCGGATTTGATTTCGGAGGAAGAATGGGAGACGTTTGTTGCAAAGCGAAGAACAAAAGAATTTGAAGTAAGTACAACTTATCATGAACTATGTATAATATATATACTTCTTCCACAAGAGTTCTGATAAACTTGTTTTTTCAGGTTGTTAGTGGCGTAAATCGTCAACGGGCATCAAATCCCGCATATCCATACAGAAATGGGCGTTTGGGATATGCACGCTTAGAACAAAAAATAGTAAGTACATATAAATGCTTTAATATGATATATTTACAAAAAATAGTAAGTTTATATAATAGGATATAATGCTTTATTATCCGTCTTAATGCGTAGTTGGAAGAGGAGAAGAGTGATGCGACATCTCTTCCGGACCATGTTGTATGGAAGGCTGCCCGTGTGGGAAGAGATGGAGTCATTCAGGAAGAAGTTCAACAAGTCTTTGAACAATGTGTAAGTACAACGTTATCTTTGTCAGTAACTGATCAAAAGTGTATAATATATTTATATATGGTTTTATCTATATTTCAGGAGACTCTATCCCAGACCATAACTCCCGCTGAGGACGATGATTGCAGGAGCTTACTGAGCCAGGTGTTGAATATTCCTGAGTATTCTGGGCGTGTGAGGGGTAAGGGATTTGGTGTCACTCCATCCAAACTGTATAAGCAGCCAAAGAAAAAAAATCCAACCAATAAAGAAGTGATGGATACTTTGGAGGAATTGAAAGCGCAGATCCGTGAATTACAGAAGGACAATGAGAGATACATGTCAGAAAGACGCGCTCCAGAGGGTAAAGCTACTAGTGACAAAGATAGTACCGGTTGTCCGCAGAAGCTTCCAGAGGTAATTGTATATATTACATTGAAATTAATTTAGCACAGTTTACTTAATTGACACATTAACTGATCATTATTTGTTTAGGGCATTTCACTTTGCCGGCTATATTTATCGTCACCGACTCATCGAATGGTTGGCAAGGGAAATGTGCATAACTTTCTGGGAGACTTACTTCACCACAAACCGCTCCCTTCTGGATTTTTGAAAGTATCTATTGATATTGCGTTAGAGGGGGGGTGCGTTGTTGCCTATACCAGATGATATTTCAGGCGCAACAGTGGTGGGAGATGCAATAGGAGCGTATGTGGCATGGCCGACAAATCTCATTTGCATAGATGATGAGGTAGGTTGAACCTTTTAATACTCAAATGTTTTATGATCCATACATGAAAGTTATTCTTACATTTACATTTTCTTATTTACATGATGATCTTAGACTCCTACAAAATCCAAATCAAAAGATGATAGAATTATTGTGCGGGATACCGATTCAGTTGCATCAAAGAAACAAGTACTACTACAGTTACATGATTATCTTGTTATACATTAATTACTGAACTTATATATGACTTTTAGGTTCATGATCAGCAGTCGCAACAAGTCAGCAAGGGTAAGATGCCTGAAACTTCCAAGGTGCCCAGAAAAGCATTTGTTCCTCAATTTAGGATGTGCCTTGAAACA